CCAAATGTGAACTCTGCAAGGGCAGAGATCTTGTCTGTTACATTCACTGACGAAGCCTCAGCAGGTGCTCGATGCATCCTTGGGAGTAAATGAGATGAAACCAGACATTAGGCAGAGATGAGCCAGGGTGACAGGGGCTAGAGGAGATGGGGCTGGGAAGAAAGGAGGGAGACGGTGGGGGGTGAAGCGAGAGCATGAGGGAGCCTGCCTGGAAGAGGCAGAGGTGAGGCCCTGGTCTCAGGCGGGAGCCTGGGCTTGGGTCATTTTCCCAGAAGTTGCCAGGAGAGGAGTGGAAGGGGGATCCTGGCAGAGGGTGGGGGCTAGAGAGCTGCCAGGGGGTGCCTCTGATTGGTCCCGGGCCTGAGCTGGGTTGTGATTGGGCATCATGGGAAGCAGGTTCCCCAGCCCTCAGGGATCCCCTGAGAATGGTGAGCACAAGGCATCTCCCACCTTCCCACCCAGACCCCCTCAGTAGCCAAGAGCTCATCCCCTCCCCCCAAGGCATGCAGGGGCAGGGGCAGGGGATCACGGGAATGTAGGGCCAGCCTGAGGTCTGGCTGGCCCACTGTATGATGGGGCAGGTAGCTTGGACCTGAGGGACACTCTGGGCTGAGAGCAATGTTATCGAAGAGGTCCAGGGTGGAGGCGTCCAGCGCAGCGAGGCTCAGGCTCGGGCCTGCCTGGGGGGCCTCGGTGGGGGCCACAGCACGGGCCACCCCCAGGAAGGGGGATGGAGGTGGCTGGGGTGGTCTTTGCGGCGACCGTCTCTGGGGAGGCGCCTTCTGGGACAGGATGGACAGGGCCAGGCGCTGAGTGGCAGCCTCGATCTTGGCAAACTGCCTGTGGAGAGAGACGGGCATTAGCTGGGCAACCATGACGCTGGGGTGTCCTCCTGTCTTTCATCCCAGAAGTGGTTTGTCCCTTCTCACCCTCCTCATGTTCCCTCTCTGTGCTGGTCTCCCTGCCCCAGGTCCATCTTTTCGAGTCTGACAGTTCAGTATTTGTGACTCGACTCGGAGGGAAGCTCTGAGCAGCTGTGGAGTGTGTGCGCCGCGCAAGGCAGCTCGTGGTCCAGGGCCATGCACATTTCTGACATGTAAATGTGTTATGACCATGTTCCAACATATACGAGTAAAAAATGCCTTAAGGATCCCAGCTGGTGTGGCTCAGTGCTGTTTTGTATGTGTGTGCACCTTCCATGAAAACATATCTGATACTGTATAATTCTCTTTATAGGAAATGTCCAGAAGAGGCAAATCCCTGGGGACAGAGAGCAGGTGAGTGTTTGCCAGGTGCAGGGGCCAGGGGATGGGAAGGGACTGGTAATGGGTACAGGGTCTCCCCGGGGGTGATAAGAATGTTCTGGAACTAGATGGAGGTGATGGCTGCAAAACATTGGGAATATACGAAACCCACTGAGTTGCTCACTTTAAATGGTTAAAATGGAGAATGTTGTGTTCTGTGTATTTTACCACCAGAAAAAAAAGATATATCTGGCTCCTAAGTAAATTAGTCAGAGCTGCAACTCTGCCACCGTCTTCGACGCCAAGGAGGATAGCGACAGGCCCTGAGTGCCCCAAGGAAAACTTTGAGACATGGGAGGTCTGGTTAGAGAGAAAGAGGGAGAGAGGAAAGAGAGGGGCAAAGGGAGAGAGAGGTGGAGGCAGAGCTAGAGATGAAGGTATGTAGAGCCTGAAGATTACAACCTTGTTGCTGTATACGCCCCCGACTTGAACAAACTGAGCCTAAGTGACATTTGGGCTGAAGAGCCATGGCATTGGCAATTGCCTTTAAACTATTTAAAAAACATAGATGGCCCTGGTCAGTGTTGCTCAGTGGTCGGAGCGCTGACCCGCAGACTGAAGGGACCCGGGTTTGATTCCGGCCAAGGGCACGTACCTTAGTTGCAGGCTCCATCCCTGGCCCCAGCTGGGGTGTGTGGNACTGAAGGGACCCGGGTTTGATTCCGGCCAAGGGCACGTACCTTAGTTGCAGGCTCCATCCCTGGCCCCAGCTGCGGTGTGTGGGGGAGGCAACCAATCGATGTGTGTCTCTCACATCGATGTTTCTCTCTCTCTGTCCCTTCACTCTCTGAAAACCAATGGAAAAATATCCTCGGGAGAGGTTTAAAAAAAAAAAAAGCCCCACGGTTGGACCCGCCCCTGTATCCCCAGCCCCTACTCTGGTCTGAGCTACCATCCCCCCTCGCCTGGTGTCTCCTTTCCACTCTTGCCCCCTACACAGCCTGTCCATTCAGCAGCCAGAGGGATCCTTTCAGATGCCCCGCAGCTCTGCTCAGAGCCCAGGTCCCTCCAGGGGCCCATGGGGTCTCCAATCGGGCCCCTGATGCTTTTGAGCCCTAATCCCCTCCCCCTCTCAGTCTGCTGGCCACACTGGCCCCCTTACTGAGGTCCCTGCTTCAGGCTTTGCTGGGCCCTGCTGGACTGTCCTCCCTCAGCCACCCACAGGGCCCCTTCCCTGCATTCCCCAGGCCTCTGCTCAGCTGTCATCTTCTCAGTGCCGCCTCCCCCAGGGACACTTTACCTAACGCGCCAGCCCTTCCTGGCACACCCTCCACTGCATGTACCACCTCCCAGCATACCATGCAATTTTAAAAATGGAACTAAAATTCACATAACATAAGACGAGCCACTTGAAAGTGCGCAGGTCAGTGGCATTTCATACATTTGCGATGCTGTGCAACTGCCACCTCTAATTAGTTCCAGAGATTTTCATCGCCCTGAAAGGAAACCCATTCCCACCGTCTCCCCCAGCCCCTGGCAGCCACTAATCTGCTTCATGTGTCTGTGGATCTGCCTGCTCTTGTTTTCAAGGTTCGTCCACATTGTAGCATCATGCGTATCATTTACCCTCTGGCTCCCGCACTGGACAGGGGTCCAGGAAGGCAGGGGGTGTGCTCTGCTGTGTTCCCTGCTGGGCCTCTGTGGCCGGGCACACAGTAGGTGCTCAATAAATGCATGCTGAGTGTTGACTGCACCAAGCTCTGGGGCCACTTCTCTCTGTTCCGTCTGGACCTGGTCTCCCCCCGACCCAGGTCTGTGGCTCCTCCCCACCCCCTCTGCCCTTGACCCCCCCTCACCTGCAAATCTGGTTGTGCAGGAACCTCCTGTGGTTGGGCCTCCTTTTGGGGAGCCGGGTCCTCCGGGGGTGCAAGGTGCGCAACACATGGGCGGCCGCCCCGCTCACAAAGGCACACAGCTCCCAGGGGCTGGGCTCGGAGACTCCAGGGTCTGTGGGGGCTCCGGGGTGCATGGCTTGGGTGATCTAGGGGTGACTTTCCACTCTCTTCCTGTTGATCAGAAAGCACTCTCCCCAAATCTACGAGGAGAGAGGGGCAGCCAGGGCTGGGCGCTCGCTCGGGGCTGTGGAGGAGGAGGGATGGCCTTGGGAGGGGCGGTGGACTCTGGACAGGAGGGGAGGTAGGGCCTCGGGAATTAGGACCGGGTGTCCCTCCTGTGCCCTCCTGGTCCCTACGTCCTGGGAGCAGGACCCCGAGGATTGAGGGACAGTAGGTGGGGGGCTGATATAGGAAAGCAGGGAGTGGGCTGGGGCGGGGGCTTTTTGTGTGCCCCCCCAGGGGCCAATTAGCACATAGTTGGACCTGGGATATGGGGCAGGGTAGCGTAGGTGGGGGGCAGAGAAAAGCGCCTGGAGATTGCCAATTAAGGTGACAAAGGCCTGGCAGGGAGGCGAGGCCAG